GTCTTTGCTTTAGAAGTCTTGGAGGGATCTTCTTGACTAAAATTGAAGTTAAGGTTGCCCCCCAGTCTGGATCTGATTCCATGAAATTAACGCATCAATAGCAGTCGAATAACCTTTTGAGGTTGGAGCCAAAATTGCCCCCCAGTTGGGAACCAGTTTCCCACAGACGGCGCCAAACTGTTGCGTCCTGGAATATTCGCGGCGGTAGAGAAATATATAGTTTAACGTCTTAGCGTTGTACGAAGATCCAGCACACAATCAGATAAGTGAGAGGATGTAGCATTCATAAGTGACACCAGAGTTTTTACGTGGAAAACCCCTAAAAAGGGGGAAAAACCACGGGGCCTGGCCCGGTTTGAATGAATCCACTAGTATTTGTAGTCGATTACAAATGAGGCCCTTCCTTAGGAGAAGGCCTTGGATTGATGTAGCAAATGTACATCATATAGATTGCATTACATGGTAAGAGTTACATATACAGGTTTGTTTGGCCTGAAGGACCGTGGTCGGCAGGAGACCGGAGTCGGCAGGAGACCTGGGTCAGAAAGACCGTTGTCTGTTGATGGAGGTCGGAAGGACCATAGTAGGCGACAAAGGCCTGAAGAACTGTAGTCGGCAGGAGACCGTAGTCGGCAGGAGACCGTAGTCGGCCGGAGACCGTAGTCGGCAGGAGACCGTAGTCGGCCGGAGACCGTAGTCGGCAGGAGACCGTAGTCGGCCGGAGACCGTAGTCGGCAGGAGACCGTAGTCGGCCGGAGACCGTAGTCGGCAGGAGACCGTAGTCGGCAGGAGACCGTAGTCGGCCGGAGACCGTAGTCGGCAGGAGACCGTAGTCGGCCGGAGACCGTAGTCGGCAGGAGACCGTAGTCGGCCGGAGACCGTAGTCGGCAGGAGACCGTAGTCGGCCGGAGACCGTTGTCTGGTTATGGAGGTCGGACGGACCGTATTAGGCGACAGTGGTCAGAAGGACCGTAGGCGGTAGGAGATAAGGAGTCAGGTGTTAGTCCCAGTGTCACTTGGAAGATCGGATGTTGATGGTCTGGCCTTGAGTAGGACGTCGGGTCTTAAGCAGGACGTCGGGTCTTCAGCAGGACGTCGGGACTTAACTTCGGGCCTTGAACAAGACGTCGGGTCTTTGGCAGGATGTAGGGACTGAGTGTCGGGCCTTGAACAAGACGTCGGGTCTTTGGCAGGATGTAGGGACTGAGTGTCGGGCCTTGAACAAGACGTCGGGTCTTTGGCAGGACGTCGGGGATGAACGTCGGGCCTTAAGGTGGTGGTCCGGCGAGGTTTTGTGGTGGTCCGGCGAGGTTCCTGCGGTGGTCCGGCGGTGGTCCGGCGAGGTTCTGCGGTGGTCCGGCGGTGGTCCGGCGAGGTTCTGCGGTGGTCCGGCGGTGGTCCGGCGGCTGTCGAGGAGGAACTCCTTCCTTCTCTTCTCTTCTTCTCTCTCTTGCTTCGATCCTCTCTTATGAGAAATGAGGGCTCTATTTATAGATTTTCTGGAGTGGCATGGCCCGTAAATAGGCATGAGATCAGGGGCGAATAGGGAGTGGTCCAATGGACGGCCGATATCGAATCCTTTGATCATGTACCGTTCGTTGGGCATTTGAAGGCCTTAATGATGTCAAAATTCTGCGATCTTGGGCTCGTTGGATTCGTCTCGTCGAGCCCTTCGATTCGAGTATAAGCTCGTCAAAATCGAAGTCCGTTTGGTAACTCAAATTGTGGTTTGAACCTTCCAACAGTGCTTCGGATCCATGATTTGGACCCATTTGGACTCGGATTGGGTCGAATTTGGTGTCGTTGGATTCGTATTTCCGAGACGCTCAGTTTGACTATAAGCTTGCTGAAATCGGAGATTGGGTGCTCCCAAAATTAATTTTTGAAGTTTCCAACTAGCTTTTGCCTCGAGATTCGTGCTCGATCAAGATAATTTTTGTGATGCCGTATCAATAAAGGTGTTAAAAAATTTTAGATCTGTTTTGAATTTTTTGCAATATTAATTACCTAGGTATTGTCCTAATCTTAAAGTATACCCTAGGGTTATTAAGGTATCTTAATTAAAATTTTGTGTAAATTAATTTTAAAGTCTTAAAATCTACTCTAAAATATTTGTAATATCAAATATTTTTATAAAAAAAAAAATTTATAAACTATTTTAATATATATGAATAATTCAAAAGTTTTAAAAGACTTTCATAGTCCCGCTAGAGGTGAGATTGGGCCCCGCCCCACCTTTTATATGGACCCGTCGACTACAAGCCCAAAAAAGTGAAAAACAGGTCTCGCCCCGTTTCCCTCTCGCAACCCTATAGCCGATCCCGCCGTGTCATCACCGACACAATTAAAATGAAACGGCCATGGAGACATCAAAGCTATTCACTTCTCATCGGCCCACGCTCTCCAATTCACTAATAGTAAAAAATTATACTTAAATGTTTCTTTTCCACCCATAAAAAAGACATCTAATACAGGATAAAAATTATCAAAACATTAACGCATCAGACGAAAATAAGAAATAATTAAAAATAATTATTAAAAAACAAAATATTTGGTAGGAAAGAGTTTGTTTTTTTAGTTGAAGACTGTAGAAGCAATTTATTGATTGAAGATGCTTATCATGGGAGAAATTATTGTGTGCGGAATTCAGACTGTCAGGATATGTGAGGGTACACAGTAAATATATAGCATAACAAATACACTGTATTTACAAACACTATTTATTTGTTGCGTATTTATTGTGTACCCTCACAAAATCCAAACACATCTTACGTCAGGACTCCACACAATAATCTCACCTGTCAAAGATCGTGTTGCGGCTTGTTGGTTGATGAAAGCAATTCCTTTCAGCGATCCTGCACTCGAAATCCTCTAATCAGCCCTAAAGAAAAAAAAAATGCCTATCACTTTTACTCTAGATTTTGATGCAATAGCCCAGATTAGAAGGAAAGATGGGGACATATATGAAGTTTTTATCTATAAACATATAGATATTGTAATGGAGTTTAGTTGTGTTGCGGGCTAGAATATACGCAGTGATAGAGTTGAAATACTTTCGTCCTAGTGTTGAACGAATATTCAGCATACAAACAAGAAAGGAAAATAACACCAGGATTTGTACGTGGAAAATCCGAAAGTGGAAAAAAACCACGGGCCGCACCCAGTTGAAAAGTTCCACAAGTGTTTGTTTGAAGTACAGAGTCTGATTCGTCCCACAAGCAAGTACAATCAGATTACAAAGAGGTTCTCCTAAATTGAAATTCAGTTACAAAGTTATGCAGAATTCCGGCGTCTCCCGAATATCCGGCAGAATTCCGACGTATTCAGGCGGCGGAAAGAAATCTGGCGGTTGTCGAGGAGGAGCTGATTCTCCTCCTTCTTCTCTTCTTCTTCTCTTCTTCTCTCTCTCTTGCTTGGGTCCCCTCTTATGAGAAATGAGGGGTCTATTTATAGTTTTTCTGGAGTGGCATGGCTTGTAAATAGGTGCGAGATCAAGGGCGAACAGGGAGTGGTTGAATGGACGGCTGATATTGAATCCATCGATCATACACCGTTCGTCAGCCATTTGAAGGCCTTACTGATGTTGGAATCTGGCGATCTTGGCCTCGTTTGATTCGTCTCGTCGAGTCGTTCGATTCGACTACAAGCTCGTTAAAATCGGAGACCGTTTGGTAACTCAAATTGTGGTACGAGCTTTCCAACAGCGCTTCGGGTGCTTGATTTTGACTCATTTGGGCTCAGATTGAGTTGAATTTGGTGTCGTTGGGTTCGTATTTCCTAGACGCTCACTTTGACTATAAGCTCACTGAAATCGGAGTTTGGGAGCTCCCAGATTTAATTTTTGAAGTTTCCGGTTCAATTTCACCTCGAGATTCGTGCTTGATCAAGATAAATTTTTTCAGAATATATCAGGTTGATATATGCCATCTTCATTGAGAGGTTGCATGACATTGGGATGGGTTGTAAAGCCATCAAGTTTGCCTCCAAAATCATTTGCTTAGAAGTTTTTGAGAACTCCAGAAAGCCATATAGGCCTATGGGGTGATTTTCCATTATGAGCTGCGTATTGATAATGGCCTTGACATATGATATTAGAAATTTGAGTTTTGGGAGGATTGAGATGTCTCCCGTTTTGAGGGTTGTATTATTGGCATTGTGAGGGCTCTTTTGATAGAAGAATCTGTTGGATTTATGAAAATGAAAATGAGGCATATGTCTAAAAAGAAGAGGAGGAGAGATTGGTTTGCAAAGAAGAATTACGAATAGCATCTCCAATCGAGTCATTTGCCTATTTGTAGTTCTGGTGAGCATCCACCCAAGCAACAAATGAAAACAATTTTTTGCATTTTACTCGGTTATGAGTGCGACATCAATATTGTAGCCGTACAATTCAGAATACCATTCACCCATTTTGACTGAAAATAGATATAAAAATTGAAATGGAAAAAAAAAATATACACAAAATATTCATATTAAATCGTAGTTAAAAAATAAAATAAATATTAAGAAATTATGTTCAACATACTTCATTATAAAAAATAGGGAGTTTTACATACATACCACTTAATACTATTCTATTTACATATTTAACATCTAAAACTTTAATATTACATAAATACCACCCATAGTTCATTTTCATACAAAATATGAGTGGTAGAAATGAAATATATGAGTGGTAGGAAAGAAATATAAGTGGTATATTTGATATTAAAATAATATAGGGTGGTATGGATGTAATATTAAAATTTTAGGTGTTAGATATGTAAATAGGATATTATAAAGTGGTATGTATGTAAATTTCCCTAAAAAATAATAGATATATTCTCCCCGTACTTGCATTATAAGTTAAATAAAGTCAAATTTTTCTTGAAAATATTATTAACACCTTATAAAATTATTAATAATTAAATTAGTTTACACTCATCCTACCTTCTTTATTATATTTTTAAATTATAAATTGACTTGAGTCACTCAGAAGCATCGGTCTCGTGACTCGTCTCTATATATCCCGCAGGCAACCCAATGTCCCTTACCTTGAACCCACGCTTCCCACTTCTACCCTCTATCTCTATGGCTCCACGCCTCCTCCTCCTCCCCTTCCTCCTCCTCTTCCTCCTCTCCTCCATTACCACCGCCTCCTCTCCCAACAAAAAGAAGCTCAAAGAAAAGCTCAGCCACCTCCACTTCTACTTCCACGATGTCGTCGGCGGCCGCAACGCCACCGCCGTGCCAGTCACCAAACCTGCCGGCGTCGGCCAGCCCTTTTCGGCCTTCGGAGTTATAACCATAATGGACGATCTTCTCACCGAAGGCCCCGACCCGAAGTCGGAGCAAGTGGGCCGGGCCCAGGGCATGTACACCGGGGCGGCCCAGGAGGAGTTGGGCTTCCTCATGGCCATGAACCTAGCCTTCACCGCGGGCAAGTACAACGGCAGCGTCCTCTCCGTACTGGGCCGCAACCCGCCGCTCCACCCGGTGAGAGAGATGCCCATCGTCGGCGGCAGCGGGCTCTTCCGCTTCGCGAGGGGGTATGCCCTGGCGCGGACCATTTGGTTTAATTTCACCACCGGTGACGCCATCGTGGAGTATGATGTCCATGTCATGCATTATTGAAGAGGGGTCTGAAGAGGGAGAGTAAAGTTATCAAATTTCAGTAATTTAATTCATTTTGGATGACTTTAATTATGATATTTAATTTCATATAATAATTGTATAAGAATATCATAAAGCCAAGCTATATTAGAATGAACTTAAGAGCCCTTAATTTACATTAAGATTAGTGCTGATATGCTCTCAATCTCATAAACTTAATATTTAGAAATAAATTTGAGAATCCTAACAGGCCGAGCTCACTCATCCTGCAAAGATTTGATATATTTATATGCCTTAATTTGATTATTTGCATAGAATTCTTTCATAACTCTTATATGTGACATTTTTTTTTAATGAGAGCGCATAAATTAATTTTAATATTTAATATTTAGAGAGATTATTAAATAAATATTTATTATTTAATAAATAATAATGAGATTTAGGCTTTGTTTGTCATGTTTTTTTTACTGTTTTTTAAGACATCCTATTACATTCTTATTATTTTTTTAAAGCAATTTTTTAGTATAATAATTTTGAATATTTATACTAAAAAAAATATCTTTAAAAACGCAAGAGAAAATCATTTCAAACGAAGAAATTTTTATATTAAAAATCTGCTTTAAGAAAGTAATGAGAAATTTTCAAACAAATCTTAAATGACAAAAAATTTTATTTTTAAAAAATATTATATATTTTATAAATTTGATTAATAATGAACAAATTTTGGTATTTTATTATTTTGGTTATCTTTTAATTACATTCCTGTTTTTTTGTTAGTGGACCGGGGTTAGCTTTAATGCTTTCCATAGCATTGGATGCATTTTCGCTCGCGGAAGCTACTACTCCCTTTTTGTTCATGTACGCCTATGTTTTTTTTTTTTTTTTGAGAAGATGCTTCTTATTACTTATTCTGATGAATGAATTGAGGACAACTGAAAAATTTTACGGGATATTTGTTCGGATAATATGTAGGGGGATTTATAACATTTATATGTTAATATTTAAAAATTTGATATTTATTGTACTATAATATTTTAAATTTTTAAAATAATATCAAATATTATTAACATTTATATTCTTGAAATATACTAAATATGCTTAAAGTGTGATATATCCTCAAAAAATTATCTGCGATACGTGTAACAATCTCGAGGCATAAATCGAGGCTGAAAACTTCAAAATTAAATCCGAGTCACTGAGCTCCGATTTCAGTAAACTTATAGTCAAATGAGCGTCTCGGAAATATGAAATCAACGACACCAATTCAACTCAATCCGACAGCACAAATGAGTCAAATCAAGGACCCGAAGCACTGTGAGAACAGTTTGTACCACAAATGTGAGTTACCAAACGGTTCTCTGACTTGGCAAGCTTATGGTCGAATTCGATGCTGCTTGACGAGACAAATCCAACGTGCCCAAGATCACTGAATTCTAAAGTGATTAATACCTTCAAATGCCTGGTAAACGGTCCACAATCAAAGGATTCAATATCGACCGTCCATTCAAACCACTCCCGATTCACCCCTGATCTCTCACCTATTTAAAGGCCATGCCACTCCATAAATCTATAAATAGTCCTCTTTTCTCTTGAAAGGAAGGGGAGAGAAAAAGCAAGGAGGGCGGAAGCAAGAGAAGAAGGAGAAGAAGAGAATGATAGGAGGGAAGAAACTCCTCGACCACTGCCAGAATTCTGCCCGACATTCAAATGACGACGGAATTTCACCCGACGTTCAAGTGACGTCGAAATTCTGACCGACTTCTAAGTGAAGCCGGAATTCTGCCCAAACTCCATGTGGTGCCAGAATTCTAACCAAGTTACGCCGGAATTCCGCCCGACCTCCAAGTGACACTGGAGTTTCACCCGAACTCCAAGTGACGCAAGAGTTCTGCCCAAATACCATCTAACGCCGGAGTTCTCCTCGACCTCCAACATATGTCAGACTTCTACCCAACGTCAGACCTCAGCTCGTCGCCAAATTTCCACCCGACATTAGACTTCTATCTATTGTCGGACTTTCACCAGACATCTATCTGATGTTGGATTTTCTTCCATTGATGGACTTCTACTAGACACCATCTTTTTGACTTTTGCGTCAGATAATGGTCCTTCCGACCTCTATCACCCGCTGACTATGGTCCTTTTGACTTGCATCGCCCGCCGACTGCAGTCCTTCCGACCTCCATCACCCATCGACTATGGTTCTTCTGACTTATGTCGCCCGCCGACTACAGTCCTCTCGACCTCCGTCGCCCGCCTACTATGGTCTTTCTGACTTACGTCTCCCGCCAACTACAGTCTTTCGGACCTCCCTCGTCCGCCGACTACGGTCCTTCCGACTTACATCGCACACCGACTATAGTCCTTCAGACCAAACAAACACATCAACAGTGTGATGCTTTATATTCTCACCATGTATTGTACTCTATAAGATGTACATAAGGCTAAGGCCTTCCCCTGAGGAAGGACCTTATTTGTAATCAACTACAATACTAGTGGATTCATTCATACTGGGCTAGGCCCCGTGGTTTTTCTCCCTTTTTTCTAGGGTTTTTCACATAAAAATATTGGTGTCTCTAATGGATAACGCACCCTCTCTTTTTATCTGATTGCGTGCCGAATTTTTGTGCAACGCTAAGACGTTAAACTTTATATTTCTTTACCGCCGCGAATACTCCTGGACACAACGAAGTGAAATTTATTTGATCTAAACCAATTGATTTGAACTTGAGATAACAACGTTTAGTAAACGGGTTAGAAAGTTAGACTCAAATCTCATCTGTCAGTAACCTCGATGAGTTGAACCCAACCCCATCATACATTTTCATTAAAAAACTTGGGATTTTTTAACTATAGAGTTTATGTTAATCAATCAAAAATTAAAATATCATACTAAAAAACAAAATAATTTAAGGAAAATATATAAAATGGGTTACTATCAAGTTTGTTGGTCAACACGAACTCGATCTGCTAATTAAATAGGTCAAAATTATTGACCCAACCTCGACCCACATATTAAACAATTCAACTCTAACCTAAATTTTTTGGATTGCGTTCATGTTGGATTATCAGGTCATATAAAATTTGAACACTTTAATCCCATCAAAATTTGGAAGGTTTCATGCTAAATGTTGCATGTGATCCTCTACACTACTTTAGATAAAGGAAAAGGGCTAATCCGACCAAAAGCTTTGGCCCATAGGTAATCAAATCACTTTTTTGGTTTGAGTCTGATTAAATTATTTTTAATTACTTTCATTTTTTTATGAATTTAATTAATCAATTGCAGTACAAAAATATCATGATTTTGTTGGAGAAAAATATGACAATTGTGGCTCAATAAAATTATTTTAGAACATTAAGGACCTATTTGAAATACCTTACTTAATATTTTACTTTTCAGACCTCAACCCCGTTTTGTTTGGCTATGATTTTCTTATAACTTCCTCATTATTTTCTAGTAATTTATATGATATGAAGCTGTTTTTTACAACCGGAGTTACTAAATAAAGGTTCTTTTAGCACAAATGTAACTTTTCGTAAAAATAATTATAAAATTATTGAGGAGAAATACTTTTAAAAACTACTATATAAAAGCACTTTCCTAGCATACAAATTTTTGGAAAGCAATCAGAAAATAGGTTGCCAAATAAAATTTTTGATTATTATCTAAAAAACAAAACAATAAGAAAGCTGACTCAAATGAAATCTTACTAATATATGTAGTTTTAAGAAAGTAATTATGCATTAAAAATATATTTATAATATTCATTTTGACTTTTAAAAAAAATATTTTTCTCACAATAATTTCATAATTACTTTTACAAACTGCTAAACCAATCTCAAATAGACCCTAAATTATCAGTAACAAAATTTCACAATTTAAAATAATAGGTAACAAAGTATAAATATAACGAGAGAGAGAGAGAAAAGCTAAAGAATTAAAAAATAAAAAAAAAATAAAAATTGTGCTATATTTTTTAATACTAATTTAAAATTAATAAATAGGAAAAAGAATGAATGCTTTTGTAGCTGCTACACAACGTAGGCCAGCGCTCATCAAGCATGTGACCCCACTGTCGGTGCGCGCTGCTAATGCTGAAATAGTGAAATATTTCGTGCAAAAGCGCGCCTCACCAGCACGAATAATTATTAGGTCCGAACATATGACGTAGCTTTACATCCGAACGTTAATAACATATCGCCACGTGCTTTTACTCTTTTCCGCACAGCCCGATGACCCGAACCCGGTATTGCTATGTATTGGCTGATTTGTGTAGACCGGGGTATTGTTAGGTATTGCTCGGTATTGCTCGGCAATAGCGAGAAATACCAATCTGTCAAGAACAATACCGAGCAATACCCCGGTTTTGCTAGGTATTGTTCAGTATTGCTAGATATTGGTCTTGACAGAGCGACATTTCTCAATTATTGCAAAACAATACCTATCAATACCGAACAATACTTAACAATACCTAGCAATACCCGAACATAGCAATACCTGGTTTCAGTCTGGGTCCGAGTCGTCGAGCCGCGTGGTAAAGAGTAAGAGCACATGCGACATGCTATTGGTGTCCGGATGTAGAGCTACTTAAGGTGTCCCGACCAAATAATAAGCGCATTCGCACGGTGGCCAATGAATCACGGTTGAAAATTAAAATACACAACAAACTATAATGAAAACCCATTTAATTTTTTATCTAATTTATATATTTAACAATTAAAAATTTTATGTACTCATATAACATATAATTCTTTAATTTGATGAAACTTCAAATTAAAGAATTATATGTTATATTAAAATATATTAATCTTTAACTGAAATATTTGTTAGGGCACTCATAAAATTTTAATATTAATAATCATTTTCACTCCTAAATTTAGGTTTTATTTGAAACAGCTTTCTTTCTACTTTAAAAGAAACTCTCTAATAAAACAAACTAATTTAAAAATTTTGGTATTAAAAAATTACTTTAAAAAATAGTAAGAAAGATGTCTTGTATTTCGGGTTTATTGGAGAGTTTTCTTACTACTTTTTAAAGCAGCTTTCTAACATAAAATAAAAATTTGTACTAAAAAATGCTTTAGAAAATAACAAAAAAGTTATCTCAAACAAAATCTTAATGTCGGTCGTTAAATTTAACATAGAACAATATTATTTATCTACCATCTAAAGTCTAATCCATAGGAATGTTGTTTCCAATTAAATTGATCTCCTTCTGCACAAATTAGTAAAGCCAGAGGAAAAATTATTAGGTGCGGAGTGCAGACGGGGTGAGAACCGTCTGCACAGACACAGAGTACCGAGCGGTACCCAGCGGTACCGAGTGGTACCGAACGGTACCGAACACTGTTTTATACTAGTGTGCAGACGGTTCTCCCGTCCGCACTCCGTACCTAATAATTTCTCAAGCCAGAGGGCCCTTAGCTTAAAAAGCTTGCGTGGAAACAAAAAGGTAGCTTTTGGAAAGGCTTCCCAATAATTGAAGAAATATATTTGATATTTATTTTACGAGAGAGATATATATTTGAATGTTATTTCTTAGAAAAATATATTCGAGAGATGAATTAGCTTTTAATATTTTTGTACGATAATGAAGTTATATGTTGATCAATTATTTATTTATTTTTAACATGAATGAAATATTTGGCGTCTTGGTATTAATGCATATTGACAATGAGTTTTATAAAGATGTATAGTATAAAGTGTTCTGTTATTATTATTTTTTTAAGTTATGTTATTTCTTGTTGATTATAATATTGCAAAGGTTATTTGTATCTAGGGGTGTCAATTCGGGTCAACGGTTCGGGTTTGGGTCGAACTCGGAACTGACCCGGCACTATTCGGGTCAACCCGAACCAGATCCGTTTTTAAAAACTGGTCAGGTTTCCGGACCCGAACCTGACCTGACACAAATGACCCGGGGTTTACACAAAATTGCTAGTTTTGTGTCAAAAATCGGGTCAATCTTTGATTTTCGGGTAAAAACTGGTCAAAAACGGGTTAATCTCGGGTTTTCGGATCAAATATGAGTTTTCATGTCACTTTCGGGTCAATTTTGCTGGGTCAACCCGAACCCGACCCTATTTTTAAAACGGGTTGATTTGTTGAACCCGAACCCGACCCGTTTCGGTTTCGGGTTGACCCGAACCTGCATTTTTTCGGGTCGGCTTTGGGTCGTGTCAAAAATTGACACCCCTATTTGTATCGAATAAGACGGTTGAACACATCATTTGATATGCTAAAAAGAAATCTCTATAAATGTTCTAATATAGCCTTCCGGTGGAAAAGCTTGACATCACTTCAATCGTATTATGTAACAATTATTTCATAGCTATAAAATGTCCAAATTGATATTTGTACATATGGATTTAAAACATTTGGGAGATCCAACATATTATATAGATGTAGGTTAGTGCTTGTGATTTTATACAACTTGCCTTTATGGATGTGCATGAAATAATTTTTTAATCTTTTTAACATTGATCATTTCAAGTACTAAAAATTCAACAATAATTTTATATGTTTTCTTGCTACTGCTTATTGATGAGCTTAAAATACTTTGAAATAAATGAATTAACATTTATGATAAATTTAAGAAATGAAATTTTTAAATGAGGGATGTTGTTATGTGGATAATTAATGATTTTCTTGCTTATACAATGTTGTATGGATGAAGCACTCACAACTAATTGGCATAAACTTATGATATGGAGGGCAGCAAAACATTGTTTTTTTTTTTTCCAAATAATGGCAAAACTAATATTCTTTTATTGCTAGAAATACTTTCAATGAATTACCCTTATCATAAATAGTAGGATAAATTAAAAAAAATATATATAAAAAATTGAAATGTAAAAGGTACTGGCAAGCAAAAAATCCCTATTTTTGGAGAGATTGTTCTGTACGGACATCAAACGGTTCAAAGACTAACAATAATGCGACATGTCACCCAGTACCGAACGGTATTGAGCACCGGTACCAAATAAAAAAGTGACGTGACGTGTTCTAATTAATATCCAGACGCGGTCCAGAGTTCACACAAAATAATTTTTCTTATCTTTGGCAAAAAAACATAATTGCCCAAATAGAAACATATTTTGAATGTTCTCATACTTGCTTCATAATCTCATTGTGTATAACCCTGATGTGATGCATATAAAAATAAAATGTATTTGAGAACATATATAATATTGTGATAGATGTGAAGAAAAATACAAATGATAACATTAAATGAAGGCTCGACATTGAAATATTATGCAAAAGATCTAAAGCTTGCAATGATTAAACTTGATGAGAGGAAGTCCAAACATAAATATTTATAAATATTAGTGAAAGATCAAGTCTAATTGCACTATTGCAGGCTACCAAGATCTAATTGCCAAATCAGATTTGGTCGTATAAAAAAACCATTATTTTTTTTCTGGAAAATAAAAATCATTAAATTCAATCCAAGACAATGATATATTCCATTTTGTTTAATTCTTAACCTTTAAATATTATTTTATAATTTAACTTGTAAACATACGTATAAAAATAAATATGAATACATGCATAAATATATAAGCAATCAAATCAAGTTTATTACATTAATTATTTTGTTGATTTTATTTCAATTTTTTTTCACTATGGAAAACTTATATAATTTTTGAATGATTTTTAATATGATTTTTGCTGACGGAAATTTGTACTGATGAGGGAGGACAATGGCCCCCCTCCCCTTGGAAAAATTAAAACTTTTAATACAATAAAAATTATTTTTAATTTGCTCTCCCATCCCAAATTTTATTTTTTTTGCTCTCAACCAACCTTTTTTCACTCAATTTACCGCCCCAAAAATCAAAAAACCTTTTGACCTCCTGTCATTTTCATCCAATTATGTTAAACTTTTCTAACATAAAAAATAAATTTGTGAAAAACAATTATGTGAGTAATAAATTATATATAAATTTGTCACTTGCTCCTTTAAGAACTAATATTGTTCCGCCCCTATTGCTACATACATAATAATAGAATATATATATATATATATATGGTTATGAGATTTGAACGCCAACAGCAGCGAGGACTTATCGTCCGTCAACCAATCAGCCACACCGCTTGGGCAAATTATTACATCCGGTGTCAGGACACCAATTCAAACATGTCACCTCACTAAAATACATCGGGTCCCAATGTATTTGAGTGACGTGGCGCAACTGGATTGAATGTCCGGACGTAATAATTCGCCCACCGCTTGATCCTAAATACTATAATATCATAATAATATAAAATCAATGCACATCTCCGCATGCAGAACATGGGATAAACAAACAGCACTAGCTAGTTATGTGTGGATAAAATCCATGCACATCTCCTTCACAAGCAGAAACACACCTACCAGAAAATCATTTCTTCCAAGATTTCATCATTCTGCATGAACAAAATTCTAGCCATAAGTAGAGCTCTGCGGCGTTTTATATTACAAGAACTCCTAATGGACGAACAGCCCATCCAAAAAATTTATACAAACTCCATTACAAAAAACGCTGTTAATCATGCCAGAATAGGAAAGTTCCTCCTATTCCTATTCTTATAAGCTCTTTCAAGAAGCTGCAGAAGAAATCTGATTAAAATCAACCAAAATTGCTTCTTGCTGAGATAGTACTGACAGCCAGGATCAAATGGAAGCAAGACTGGACTTATAAAAGTTTAGAGCTTCTAAATAAGGATCCTTCTCTTTCAAACTACAAATCAAATTGTTGCCAGTTGCGACTTCTATAGTAGTTTCATGCATTCCTTCATTGTTCTTCGCAGTCTCTTCAGCATAATTGTTGCCTGTGCCATTATTCTTCAAATAAGTTGTGTGAGAGATTAAACCAGAATAGCAGCTGGGAAAAGCATGTTCGGATGTATCGGTGCCAGGAACTGGTGCTTGAATAGCAAGAGTTTGTTCTGTGGATAAGGACTTAGAAACTTGGAGATCCAAAGCTGGATCGTTAAAAGAAGTCCTAGCTTCGGTGTAAGCATTTTTATGAATCTTGTCTGCACCTGCGTTGCAGGAGAAGATTGAGAAACATTATAGAGAGGAGCATGGTGTGGTGCAAAACAAACACAAAAAAAGCAGAAATTTGGCGAAGGACACAAGAAAATTGAAGAGTTTTACACAAAAAGATATTTTTTTGGGGACTTTCAAGCTAATTAAGTTAAATTCACAGACACATCACATATACAAGCTTTGAACCCATATCTTTTAATTGGTAATCAAAACTCTCAACCAACAGATCAAGATGAGCTGCATACAAAAATTAATTTGACGTGCTATGATTCTCTATTGAATACGGCTGGTAGCTCGTCGTTGACTATTTTTGGATTTATGCAACTACATTCAAAGGAAATAAAGATACTAGATCCAAAATAAGATCCTATTATAAATAAGTTGAGCTGAATTAAGGGTAAAGTAAATGTAGATATTACACAAATTTACACAATATTTTGGAGAGATTCATTGAACATTGACGGTTAAGGATGTTAAGGACGATAATCTTGGACAACTAAGATTGAAAAGAAGGCAAGGAAAAATGTTTGGCAAGGGATTTACGAGCTGATCTAATGTGTAGAAATAAGAAACATGTAGTTGATCGGAAGCAACCTGATCATGAACAAAGTGAAGGCCGATCGCAATGTGTTTAATCCCAGAGTTAAAGACAAGATTGGCACAAAAATAAGTAACATCAGCATTATCGTAATAGATTGCAGAGGCAAGCATTTCATTGAGTGAGTTAGTAGGCCAGTTAAGCTCAACAGAGGTAGAACTAAGGGTGCTTGCAGACAGCAATGGCAACATTAGGATGAGTTAGCGGGATGTATTATAGAGAGCAAAGCACTTGACGATGGAGGATGACATTGGCAGAGAGCTATCATCCTTGAATCTTAAGCTCAGTTATTGCAAGTGGAGTGGAGACAGCTTCGGAAGTGGGCATGTTTACACAAGTGAGGAGATTTGTAATGTTTTGTTGCTAAGAGATAAATAACCCTGCATATGCACATTGAGCCTCCAAGGAAGTAGGGAAACCATCGAAGACCTTCGAGAGATTCAATGGTAATAATGTCATCAATATAGATAAATAGATAAATCACAATGTAGCATGGAAAGAGACTATAAGAGTGATCATTGGTGAAGCCATCAAAAAGTAGGAAATTAAGAAGTTCATTATAACATGCTTGAGGTGCTTGTCAAAGCTCATAAATAATTTTGTGAAGGCGGCACACATGAGTAGTATAGGCCACATTTTCAAGCCCAGGTGGCAGCATCATATAGGCTTCAACAAGGAAACCTTAAGGAAATGCATGACATCAAGTTGGGAGAATACACTAACTGTTGGTGATTGCCAAAGCAAGAAGTACTTAAATAGCAAGTTTGACTACGGCTGGAAGTCTGGAGATGTCAACTCCAGGCTGTTGGTAAAAGCCTATAGTGAGTAGGAGAACCATCAAAATGTTTCTTAATTTAAACAATCCACTTTCTGTCAATAATATTTGGTGTTGGGGGTTTTGATACTAAGGCCTAGGTTTTGTCGGCGAGAAGAGAATAGACGTAAGAGCCGGTCTGAACGGGTCAAATCAGCAAGCAAGTGAGCGGAAGTGAAAGCGATCGATCAGGCCCAAACACGATTGAGCCGAACGCTAGCGCGCTTAAGTGTGACCGAGAGAGCGCATTTCCTTGAGCATAGAAGGAGTGGCTTGGATCAGTAGCGAGGGATTCTTTGTTCAATTTCAGGATTTGCTTTGAGAGTCTGAGACAGATGAAAGAAGAGTTCATACGATCTTGTTCAGTGGAGTTGGAGACAGAACAAAGAAAGTGCAGGATCTCTTTGGCAGAGTTGGAGAAAGAGGAGCAGAAGAAGAGGAGGTTGTTTAACTCTTTTCAGTGGAGTCTGAGACACAGAAAAAGAAGAATTTGGGATCTGGTTCATGTGACCTGGTTCAACAAATACAAAGAGGTTCCATAAGTTTCCTATTTGACGGAGAAAGGAAGAGTTACATGATTTCATTTGATTGAATCAGGTTGGGATATTTTGTTTGACAGGGAAGAGGCTGGACCGTGCAATATCATTCAACAAAGAGAGAATAATTGAAGGTAATAAGGAAATTTAGTTAAATTTTAGTCTTTTATGATGAAATAATAAATAAAATAAAATATAAATTGATAAATTTGTTCACCTTCTATATTGTCTTTCATAATGTTCGATATTTTCGACACGTTTGACCAATTAATGTTGTCTTTGATGCCATTTGACACCTTTGACTAAAAATTAATCTGAAAAAATATAACATTTTTATATTACCGATGCTCGTGTTTAATTATCTTAAATGAAAGGTTTAATGAATTATTTAGGATACTCGTATGCATTTTTTTTATATTACAAAATTATAATTAACCACTAAGTTTCATGAATGAAACTCAACTTACTAAATGAAATATGTTGTCTTTGATAATGTTCGATACTTTCGATGGCGTTCGACTAATTGACGTTGTCTTTGATGTTGTTTGAAACCTTTGACTTAAAATTAATCTAAACAAATATAAATATATAATATAAAATAATATTTTATGTAAAATGATATTTTTATATTATCACTGCTCATGTTTAAATGAAAGGATAACTCATATCTTAAATGAAAGGTTTAATAATTATTTAGGATAACTAATATACATTTTTTTATACTAAGAAACTATAATTAACCATTAAGTTTAAAGATTGAAACTCAACTTACTAAATGAAATGCTTCAAGTAAATCTCCTGATATATTTGAGGGCCGACAGAGAAAGTTTTGTATGCAGAAGAAGAGTAGCAAATATGAATAGGCATGTAAAGTTTCTATGTACTTGATTCCTGTTCAATAGCTTTTAAAATTTGGAGTAAAACTGAATTATGTCTTAAATCAAGATAGATAAATAGTGGCTCTTCAAAAATTTTGGATGATAGCGTATTAGATTTATAATTGTGGTTTGAAAGAAATTCAACAATCGAACACTGCTTGTTCCCAACTTGATATCTCAAGTCTTTGAGTTGGGTCATGACAAGTGAACTCATAAATCATTGCCATAGCCATGCAACCTGATTTTGGGCTTGTTTAAAGGTGGAGGACACAATAGTAGTGAAGTTAGTGATGGTGTGGAGTTTGTGGGAGAGAAGTTAATAGATGAGTTCAGTGTTTGTGAGGAAGGCACATACATATCAATCATGGTTTAAAATTGCGCAATATGAGGCTCGCCTTGAGGCCCACCTTTGCGCAATTCCAATAAAAAACGTCTCAAGTTTTTTTATGAGGCTTGCGCCTCAACTTGGCTGAGGCCCGCCTTGAGGCCCGCCTCGTCTCACTGGCATGAGGCTTACGCCTATTAAAACTTACATAAATCTTGAAGTAAATGTCCGACATTGGACTCTATAGGAGAGGAGGAAGGGGAGAGAGCAGTTCACCATAATGATGATTCAAATGAAGAACCCCTTAGTGATAACAGTGCTGATGACTTACGAGTTCTTATGTGATATGTCATTGTTAATTATTTTGGAAATTGGAATTATATGTTAATGAAAAGAATATTGAGATTTGGGAAAGATAGAATTTTGAGTTGAACTATATTTCATGTTGCCATATTATTGAATATTTTGATTTCACTTCATATCTTATGTTTTTTTATGTTTTATATTATTCACTCATTAGTATATAAAAAATTTATCATTTTCTGGTTTACGCAATCTTTTGATTTTGAGGCTTAAGCCTTAAAACGCCTCGCCTCACGAATGAAAAATGCCTCAATACCCGAATACGCAGTTTTAAACATTGATATCAATAGCAAAAAAATAGCAAATAAAGGTGCATGGAGTGGCAAGACACACCCTTGACGTTATTTCCTTGGCACATCACACATGTTCAAAATAACACACACTATTTGTGCCAAATAGGAAAGATAGTACATGGTGTAATCCCACATGACGTGTGTTTTTATTTTTGTAAATTTAAAATTAATATTTATATTTATATTTATTAATCATATCATTTATTTAATAACTTAATAGTACGGTCATTACATATAAATGTGCCTTAATTTCTAAAATAGATGGCATAAGTTATTTATAAAATATCTTTTATATTTCATCAAATTAATTGATGGCAAAATTATGTTCCCTGTTATTCACCATTTCATTCACCCATTCAAAATGAAGGAAAAAACATTTGAATACATGCTTGCGTATGGGTAATCAATAAAAGGTTGGACATAATTCAAATCACAAATTAATATATATATATATATATATATTATATTATATATAATATAAATAATATATATATATATATATATAGCGTCAAAATATGTAATATTGACAAATGAAGGTGATAATAATTGTATGACATATATTTTCTAGTGCAAATGAAAAAGATTATGAATTACAAGATGATGTTGATGAAGGAAATGATGTTTTTTTGACATTTGATGAGATGAATACTAGGAAGACTAGTGCCATTTAAGATAAAATAAATAGATTTAAAAAATTGTTACAATGTTTTGAATTTTGAGTGATTGAGTTGTTGATTACCTGAACTTAAACATCATTTTGAATGCTTTTATTATCATGATGATTTATATTTCTATTCAATAATATTTCATATTAATAAATATTTTTATTTACAATTATTTAATATTAAGCATCATGTTTAAAATGATATGCTTTGTGCCGTGCGCAATGTGCTATGGATCCATGAGAAATTTTGTATAATGGTGTGACATTCGCCGTTCACAAGCACAAAGAGACATGGCATTTTATGATTGTGCAATGAGATAAGGTGAAGATGGAATGAGCTGGGATAGGAGGGATGTTGCTACAATTGGTGAGGCATCATAGATGGCAAGTAATGATATGGCAAGGTCTATGGTGGGTGACGTACCAACGGAGTAGTGATACTTGTTCACAGCCATGGGCTGCTTTGTATAAAGAAACCGATTAGACTAAATGCACAATGATTTATTACTTAAGAGGTTTTTA